TGCACTTGAAACCTGGGTAATTTTGTTAATCAGTGTCACCCCAATAAATTCAATAAAAAGGAAAAAAACAGAAAAATAAAGAAAAATTATGCAAATAATATCAGGTATGATGATTAAAATCCATCACTTTAAAGAGAAAGGATAGTTAGCAGCAGAATATTTAATCTCTCAAATCTTAGGTCACTAACACTAGACATTGAATAAGAAGATTTTGGATATAATAACAGGATGTAAGAATAATATATGAAGGAACTGAAACTCTCATGAATTTTTGGTGAAAATATGAAATGGTCTGGCCTTTGTGGAAAAGAGCTTGGAGGGTCCTCAAAAAGTGAAACACAGACTGACCGTAGGCTTTAGCAACCCCTCACATAGGTTACAATGGAAAGCAGGGACTCAAGCAGATATTTGTATTCAGATGTTCATGGTAGTGTCATTTACAATAGTAAATGGTGGAATAACCCAAATGTCTACCAATGGATGAAATGATAAACAAAATGTGCCAAATGCATACAATGGAATATTATCCAACAGTTAAAAGAAATCAAGTTCTGATATATACATTAAAACACAGACAAACTTAAAACATTATAGTAAGTGAAATAAGCCAAACACAAGAGGACAAATAAGTGTACAATTCCACTTATATGAAAGTACTCTGAAAAGACAAATTTGTAGAGGCAGAATGAAGAAGAGAGGTCACCAGGAGCTAAGGGAATGGGGAGTTATTTAACCAGTGAGGAGTTAGGTTTGGGCTCTCTTCCACTTTGCAGCCATTGCAGAGGTGCCAGTGGTCAAAATGAAGTTCGGGCCCTTTGTGACTTCTGACCGGAGGAAGTACCACAAAAGGGCATTTCAATGTACTTTCCCACATTTGCAGGAAGATTATGTCTTCTCCTCTTTCCAAAGAGCTGAGACAGAAGTACAATGTACCATCCATGCCCATCTGAAAGGACGATGAAGTTCGGGTTGTGTGAGGACATTACAAAAAGCAGCAAATTGGCAAAGTAGCCCAGGTTTACAGGAAGAAACGTGTCACCTACACTGAACAAGTGCAGCAGGGGAAAGCTAATGGGACAACTGTCCATGCAGGCATTTATCCCACCAAGGTAGCCATCACCAGACTGAAGCTGGACAAACACCACAAAGAGATCCTAGAACATAAAGCCAAATCTCGCCAAGTAGGGGAGGAAAAGGGCAAATGCAAGGAAGAAACAATTGAGAAGATTCAGGAATAATGTAATCTTATATATAGCTTTCATTAAAAACTTGAAATGAAAAAAAAGAGTTAGGTTTGGGATGATAAAAACAAAGTTCTGGAAATGACCAGTCGTGATGGTTGTGCAATGATGTGCAAGTCCTTACTCTGCCTTCTAGGGAATCTTTTCTCCTTGAAATTTCATTTGAAAATGAGTTGTACTAACATTTGACATTTTTAAGCTGTGAGAAACCATACTCTTTTCTCAGAATAGCTAACAGAAAAGTATGTTACTTGTCATATTTGGTGAAAAATGTAAAACAACTTCAAAATATTTAATGTTCAAGATCTTTAAAATACTATTTTAAAATTGCTGTTGTTTTAGAAGAACTCACTGGGTTGAAAAGCATTCACAGTTTACTGACAGATTTCATCTTTAACCAAGGACACACCAACACATATGTAATTAGTTCCCTAAGTGTTTGTGCAGAGTGAAATTTAACTTGCCCTTTGTGGCATCATACCACAAGTCTCATCCCAAAATAAAATGGAATGTATTTTGTGTTTTTTACTATGATAAAATGTTAAAATAATCTTTGACCAATGATTGTTGGTACTAGCCAGCTACAAAGTTGATATTTTGACTTTGTTAAACCTCATTTAAAGTTTTCATAACTTTCAGACTTCCCTGGAAGAACAGTACAACTGAAAGACATGACTTTCTGTATCATCTTATGTCTTTTGATACGATCACTTAATATTTTCTTTCAGAACAGAGAATTATCTGTTACCATTTTGGCATATTTGCATGCTTTCTAGATGTACAGGATCAGTGGCAAGGTTTGACACTGCCATGGCTTTTATTTGTCGATTCACAAAAAAGTCCAATATAAATAAAAGAGGCCTAAATTTCCAAATGATCTATTTCTATTGGACCCTAAATAAAATATAGGCCAGCACTAAAAGTATCTAAGATATTATATACCATGAATTCTGGTGAAACTAGATTAAAGAATACAGTTGACATGCTGGATAAAAGAAAGAGGGAACAAGCTGCAGATTCTAGCTCAGGCTCTAACCACGTGTTTCTGCGCTCTCCCTCAGGATGTCTCCATGTAGATGGAAGAGGGAACTTCTCTCCCAGGTGTATCTAACTAGATGCCTCAGCCTTCATTAGTACATGTCAACTGTATTTCTAACTTCATTTACTATATATTAATTATATATTACACATAATATATGCTATGTTTTTATATTATGTTATATTATTTATTTTATCACACAGCTTCACCCACAATAGAAATATGGAAAAGCTGCTATCCAATCTTGACAGGGATTATAATCTCAAATTGGGTGGCACTCAGTGAGTACCTTTTGATAACTCATCGAGAGCAACTATATGTAAGAAAGTTTATGTGAAGATTTTGCAGTCATCCCTTTTTCTGGATCCAGGTTGGCAAACGAATTTCATGCATAGAAACTGTTTAGAGTCCTACTTGATGAAGGGGTTTTGCAGGCTGATTCTGGATGAGATGAGAAAGGACCATTTATGATTTGCTACATTTAACAGTATTCTCTGTATAAGAATCCATTTAAGAAACTTCTTTTAAGACTTAGTGCTAGGAATATTCAGGTTTCACCTAAGGGACTGGTTAGTTTATATCTCACGCACAACTTGTTTTTTTTTCTCCTCTTTGCACTGCTTTTATAAAACAAACAAAAAAATTTCTTTCTAGCACTGGGCTAGAACAGTACACCTGCCCTTGCAGAATCCATTTCACATCTACAGCCCACCCTTGATTTCAACTACATTTTCCTATCTTTATTTTCATTTAGCCCCAATTTAATCACTTACATGTTTAATCTTCTAGAATTGTTTATTCTGTGTGCTGGAATAAGACTAAATACAAATATCACATGGGCAACTTAAAATCTCTCAGAGGCTGGGTTTTCTTTTCTAAAAATAAGAGGTTGCTCCATTCCAGTTCTGAAATTTTGTCATATTTCTAGATAGAAACCCGGGAATCACAAATTTATTTATGTTTACTGACCTTATTAACTAATTTTCTAAATATACCCCCCTTTATATTTTGTCACAATCAGTGAAAACTCATTGATTCTTCCAGAGGTGTCTGTCTTAACCTAGATAATGTCTAATTTATGTATTCCAACTAGTTTATATTTAAAGAAATTTCAGCAAATGGTATGTAAAAATATATATTCTCATGATAGTGCCAAAAAGTAGCATTTCCTATGAAGATACAGAGAAATTAACAAAGTTAATAACTTTGGAAATGTTAATTAACATGGACATAGATTAAGATATCAATCTAGCAAGAATGATCTTAGTTTTCTTTTTATCTTATGTAACATTCTACCCATCACATATCACTAACTCCATTTAGCAAAGCACTCATTAATGAGAAAAGTCAATTAAAATGTATAAAGAACTATGTGCTATACACTGTAAATGAATTATATTACATAGAAAGACTTTGGAGCAGGTTATCAAATAATCCTTTCAATTCTACCTGTTCTAGAAGTGACAGGTTTTTAAAAAACCAATTAATTTTACTAGGTAACTGTGGTTAGATATTTCTCAACTCTACTTGCCTACTACTTTATTATGTGTACAATTTAACACATACTTTGTTGCAATAGAAAGATAATTATTGGTTAAATTAAGAACAATTTTCCTGTTTGCATTTTCTTGCTGACTTAAAGCCTGATTTTAACTTATGTTGTATGCTCATGTTAAAAACAATTTAAAAATAACTATTAAAGTCTATAACATTAGCATAATGGGTACATTCTCTCTGAATCTCAATAGTGTTTGTTGGTTTCTTTTTCTAAATGTTACTCAAAGCTTTGTAATAGATGCCATTCACAGAAAGCTTTTTTCTTTCTTTTTTTTAAAATTTCTAACTAGAACAATTTATACTTTCAACGATCTCTGTAATGAACTCCAAACCAATCTGTACAACTTTGCTAACACAGTGGGTCATACAAATTCAGAAAATGTAGAAACTTTAGATTTTTATTTTCTTTCCAACAGCAAAATGAGTTTCCAAAAGCAAAAGAACCATAAATTCTGGTACAGCACTGGTTTCACAGAATTAACTAGATGACCCACGGCAGACAGCTCCCCAGAAAGCTTTGTCCTGAACATTTGAGCATTCATCCACCCCTGGCTGAGAAGCATACAAATGCTTATACTACTCTTTGATTTCTCAGAACTGAACCAAGAGACAAGCTCTCTCAAAAGCTATACAAGCTCTTTGCAATAGCACTATTATTCTGGGACAGTAATGCAAGACCTAATATAAGGTCATGAATAAATTCATTCTTCAAAGTATAATCTGCTCAAAAATATATTGGTCTATTTACCATATTCCAATATGGCTGGAAGAAATAAAAATGAAATATAATAAATGTCACAAAGCTTTCTAGATGTGAAAAAAAATTAACAATATATTGGGCACTGGCACAGTAAGTTCTTTGAGAGGCCAAAGAGATGATGTAAAAGAGAGTCCTTTAAGATAATGAAGAACTCAAGCTCTGGGCTAAATAGAGGGAAACCTTCTGTAGAAGAAAATGTTGTAATCAAGTTTCATATTTTAGTCCCTATTTCTTCTAGAGAACTAAAAATATAACTTTCATACTCTAGTCCTATCCCATTGTATACAGATTTCTGCTTAATAGAGAAGCCACTAGGATTTGGAAAACTTCAAATGCTTTAAAAAATGAAGAGGTCACTTTATAATAAAAAAAAGAAGATCATAACCAGGGTACCTGGGTTTACCTTTGCTTTGCGAAAGCGGTAGACCACCAGCATGCTAACGAAGTCGAGCAGCATACACAGGGCTTGGAAGGAGATGATAGCAAGTCGCAAATACTTATCCTCCTGGACAAAGCAGGGGCTGTCATCAGCACAGTAGGGGCAGCCCTCCCTGCAGGGTAGGCAGACATGGGCTTCTTCTGACACATCTTTTGTACTTTCTGCAAAATGGTGATCCGGACCCCTTCCTGAAAGTTCCAAATAAAACCACAGTGTCATTGCACCTCTGAGGCAGGTGAGACTGAGTACAGAGTCAAAACACATCTTCACCTTTTCATTCTTTTTCCTTTTATTAAAGACCTTTGTCAACCTTCTTGCTGGAGAAGAGAGTTACTTTGCTTTTAGACTCAAACAAAATTCTTTTTATCCATTTGATTTTTTTAAAAAAAAAGCATCACTCAGAATAACTGAGGAAAATTAGCAAACATGGAAATAGAACTCTTTAAAGGCAGCAAATAGTTTTCTAAGTTCTTTATATCATTATCTACCACTCACCAACAGATACCCTCTATGACACAAATCATATTCCATAAATATTTCTTAAGGAATTAACCAGAGGCAAGATATGGAAGCTGTATCTTTTCTGCAACAAACAAATATACACAACTACTTGGAACTACTTGACCTAGATGACAAAAAAATCCAAAAGGAGGCTTTGATTACTCCTTAATTCAGCAGGAATCTCATCTACCAAGTTCATTAGGTCTAAATTGGATAAAATGGTACTTAATAGACCACTATTCAGTGTTCATTTGCATAATGATGGTAAATCCATTGCCCTGAGTACAATCCATACTTATAAGTTACTATGTAATTTCTCAATTTGCATACCCATGGGATTGCCTCACTGTTAACTAAATGCTGCTATTGCCCTCCCTTTAATGTTAGATTGTTCTATCTCAGCTATCAAACAGAGCTCTGAAGCACCGGGGTAAAGATCTCTTTAGTTGTTGAATATAGCACTGACAATCATCCAATTCACACCATGTAGTAAAACCAATGAACAAACAAAAACACCTATTTCCCAACTCTGAACTCAGTATTTCAACACGAAAAACGTTATTGAATATACACTCAGTTTAGTATATCACACAACCACATAGTTTGGTATGTACAACCTTGATTGATTGAGGAATTTGAGAAAATGGTTATTCTTGTTAACAGTATTTTAATAACACAAAATTTAACAGAAAGTCTTTATTGCTTTCCCCTCTTATTAAAGGTTCACAATTCTTCTAAAATATATTTGTCTGCTTTATTTTCTTAATAATTATAACAGCAAAAACAATTGAATATTTCTTTGATGATTCCAAATATATTGTTTTTTTTTAAGAGCCATCATTCTGCTGCAGAGTGAAAAGTATGTGGATTTCAGTGTCCAGCAGATGTGGTTCCCATCTATAGACAACTCTATGGCATTAGGCAACTCGCTTGACCACTTTGGTTCTTAGTGTAACAGGGTGCAGCCAAGAGAGGGACCCCAAATAGGGATTTGAAGTGCAGTCCAGAACTCAAGGTGTTCAGGAAATATTAGGGTGTCCTCATCCCGCTTCCCCCCCCCCCGCCCGCAACCCCGCCACAGGTGTGGGTTGGGGGAAGGGACACATGGAGCAGGGCCATTGAGAGCTGTTTTGCATAGCAACAGCCTTGCAGCTAACTTCTGGCGTGGTCATTTAACATATCTATGGCCTTTGGCTGGTTACATAGATATGTTAAGTAGCTGTGGCCAAGCTCTGAGCCAGGGGAATGGAAGTAACTTCCCCACCAAGATGTAACTCGAGGCAGGTCCCCTGAGTTACAGTGCCTGCATGGGAGCTTGGAGAAGATTGGCTCCATGACATGGGGCTGCACCTGCCCAGACCCACAATGGCAGCCCAGTAAAGCTGGAAGGATATAAGTTCTGGAATGTGAGGCCAAGTGTGGGAGGAGTCAAAAATGGGGCTGGAGAGGAAGATTGGTGCAGGGATTTAAAACCCCAGACATAGCAGCCATGGGGAGAGAGAACCATGCAGTTTTGGCTGAGTGGAGACTCCTGCAGCCATGTAAGGAGAGGGACCATGTGGCTGTGGCAGTGAGGAGAACCATGTGCTTTGGCCAGAGTAAGGGGATAACCCCCTCCCCTGTGCAGCCATGAGAAGAATCACCACGCAGCTTTAGCTGGAGATCCCAGCAACACAGCCGATGGTGCTGGGAACCGAGGAAGTCCTGCCAGCCGAGCATAGATTACTGGGAAGAACCAGGCACTGCCTGAGCCACGGACCTTTATTTCTTTTCCTGAGATATGGTACCCCAGACTGGGCAAAGGGGGGAAGGAAGGACTGTGTGTGTTTGTGGGTGTTTTAAGAGTCTTTGGGATTTTGATGAAGACATTAGGTCACTACTTTAAGTCTGTAGCATTAAATTAACATTTCTTTTCCTTTTCATGAATCTTGGGCATTGAGAGATCTCTTTCCTCTGGTGGCAGACATAATGAACCTGAGGGGTTCATTTCAGGTAATAGTATATTGTCCTAGGCCCCCCCCCCAACTTGTTGCTCTGTAACATTAGTATACAATGTATGAAATACAAATTGCAGTGGGGTTTAAATGAAATGATGTATGTACAAGGTGGGGCAAAAGTAGGCTTACAGTTTTTCATATGGATAATAATATAATAATGAATAAATAATACAAGGATAAACTGTTTTACATACTCACAACTATAAACCCACTTTGCCCCGCCCTGTAAATCACAATGTAATAGAGTACAGCTAAGGGGGAGGCCCCAAATAAGGATTTGTAATGGGGTCCAGAACTTGGTGTCCAGGAAGTATTAGAAAAAAAAAAAAATATATATATATATAGGATGTCCTCACCCCTACAAGTCTGAGCTGGGGGATGGGACGCATGGAGCAGGGCCATTGAGAGTTGTTTTGAATAGCAACAGTTTTGCAGATAACCTCTAGAACGGTCACTTAACATATCTATAACCTTTAACTGGTTTCATAGGTATGTTAAACAGCTGTGGCCATGCTTTGAGCCAAGGGAGATGGGAGTGACTTCAACCCACAATGTAACTGGGAGGCAACTCCCCCTGGTTACAGAGCCTGCATAAGAGCTTGGAGATGATTGTCTCCACACCACAGGGCCACACCTGTCTGGACTTACTATGGCAGCCCAGTAAAGCTGGAAAAATATGGGAATGCTGGCAGCTGTGGCCAATTGTGGGAGGAGTTGGAAATGGTGCGTCAGAGGAAGATTGGCACTGGGATTTAAACCCAGGCGTGGCAGCCATGCAGCATCTTTTTGGGACCACAGGGCTTGGGCAGAGAAGAACAACAGACTTCTATTTCTTTTTCTGAGATACAATCCTCTGGACTGGGCAGAGGGGGAAAGAAGGACTGTGCATTGTGAGTATTCTAAAGGACTTTGGGATCTCAATGAAGACGTTAAGTCATTACTCTTAAGTTTGTATAACTCTTCAAATAAATAATCCCTTTCATTTTCACCAGTCTCTGGCATTGAGAGATGTCTTTCCCTGGTGGCAGGCAAGGCAAACCTGGTACAAGGTGGGGAGCCCCCAGAGCACAAGGGTGGGTCCATTTGGCAATAGCATATCGTTCCGCCACCCCACCCCCGGCCTAGGTCTGTTCTGTAACAACAGTGCCTAGCTTTCTCTTTTTCTCCAAGTACGGAAGCTACAAAGAGGAACTAGGAACCTATTGATGCCTAAAGAAAGGCACTACTTGATAAAAACAACAACAACAGGAAAGTTAGAAGAAAAAGTTGAGGTAGGGAGGGAGGGAGTGGCAAGAATAAGCTCCATTTTAGAAAAATTAAATTTGAGGTCCAACTGTCCAAGAGAAATATACAATAAGAAGTGAGAAATAATATAAGACTAGACTGTATGAAAAGGATCAGTATGAGTGAAAGAAGCTGCAGAGAGCTCTGGGAGTCAGTGAGGTATTGATAAGGGAATGCAAACAGGAAGAATTTTAGACAGCCAGAAGTTTTTATAATGTCATAAAAGGCAACTTGGATTTACTGGAACATGCTGGAATGTGAACAAAGATGATAACTGAGTAAAAGCTCTGAGGTTTAATGATTATTTTATCCTTCCTTGACCTTTAAGGCAGTAGTTTCCAAAGAATGGTAGAATGAAATTAGGTTGTCAGATCATAAGGAATAAACATGATAAAGTAGAATATTATTTCAATAAATATTCTAATGAATGAAAAAAGCTAGAAAAGCTCTGATTAATAAAAATAACAATTAGAACTATACGCAGGATGTCTCCTCCATAATTCTTCAAGTAGCCCAGGAGTTCTGGCCAAGATGAAAGGCATAGGAAGAAATGCTTCACTTGTTCACACATCCAAAAGAAGGACAACAAATTTAAAAACAAAAAACAATCAGAACTGCCAGAAATTTAAACTTCATGGAATTCTGACAACCAAGGATTTAAAGAAACATTCATCCAGAACAGTAGGAGAGGTGGAGACAAGCATCTGGGGCAGGGAGGATGCACAGCCAAGGAGGTGGCTGGTGGACCGGTCAGTCCCACATTTGTGGGGCAATAAACTGGGAAGAACAACTGGGAAGCAAGACAGACCACAGAACCCAGGGTTTCAGTGTGGGAAACTAAAGACTCAAAACCTCTGGATGTAAAAATCTGCGGGAGTTGTGGCAGGGGGAGAAACTCTCAGGAGAGTCCGTGAGAGAGACCCACAGGGTCTAGGACCCACAGGGTCCTAGAATGTATACAAACCCACCCACCTGCAAATCAGCATCTGAAAGGGGACAGTCCATTTGTGGGAAGTGAGGGAAGTGATGGAAAGTGAGGCTAGAGCAGAGCCAGAAAGTGGCATTGTTCTCTTTCTGACCCCTCCCCCACATGTAGCACCACAATGCAGAAAAGAGGGTTGCCTTGTCCTAAGGCTCTGCCCCTTACAACGTAACAGTTGCACCAAGAGGGAGAAATATGGCCCAAATGAAAGAACAGATCAAAACCCCAGAGAAAGAAATAAGTGACAAGGAGATAGCCAACCTATCTGATGCAGAGTTCAAAACACTGGTAATCAGGATGCTCACAGAAATGATTGAGCTCAGTCACAAAATGAAGGAAGAAATGAAGGCTATACAAAGTAAAATAAAGGAAAATATACAGGGAACCAAATGTGAAAGGAAGGAAACTGGGACTGGAACCAAGG